CTGCAGAAGTAGCAGCACTGCAGCACATACATGCAAGCAGCTCCAGCCCCTCCCATGCATGTAGATTGAAAGGTGTGGCATTCCATGACTGGAATGAGTGGCAGCAAGAAGACCATGTGAGAAAGAAGCTTCACTTTTTCTTTACTAATCAGCAATATATGATAAACTTGCTGACAAAAAAAGTTGCTGCCTTTGTATATTTGAGATAGTATAGGTACTTTAGTACCTATAACCCAGCAAGTTGTTGCTCTAGCGCTGCACAAACGAGTGACCTCAACAATTTCAAGTAAGTATAACTCTTCATCAAGTAAGATTTAGAGAAATCTGTTCATAATTTTTGAAGGCCATGTTCTAATCTACTGAAAAATGCTACCAGCTATCTCCAAAGTGCCAACACAACAGAACTTGGCCCAACTACTCGATTTCTTACTTTGAAGCTTCTGTACCTAGCACTTGTATTTGAGCAACACAAAACAGTTAAGAAAGACTTTTCCACGTCAAAAAGAAAGATCTAAGAGCTTAGAACACGCTGTGCTAAAGTTATTGTTTATTAAAAACAAATTTCAGTTGTACAGAATGAATGAATGACAGACACACACAACAATTACCTATACCTTGCGTAGGTGAGGCCAATGACAGTTAGTAATGACATCCTGATAGTAATTCAAGTATAAATGTACATGTACACATGTATCACTCTACCTCCTCTCACTGTCACTTATTAACGATACAGTTACCACCAGCTGCTAATGGTAATACACTCTACTTGATAATTACTGAAGGAATGTATAGCCATTGATGAGTCCAGTGGATAGGATAAATTTGGAGTAACTTTAAAAATTTGTAAAAAATCTAATTTTGATTGCGATGAGTTCAAACTTTCTACGGAACATAAAAACATGTATATGCATCAGAAAAAATTATTAAAATGAAAAATTCTCTCCTTTTCATTTTTGGTAAAATTTGGCCAATGACCCTGTACTATAGTACAGGGACCTTAACTTGATTTTGGAAAAAATCCAATTTTGATTGGAACAAGTTCAAACTTTCTACACAACAAAAGAACAAGTACATGTATCAGGAAATACACACACACACACACACACACACAGGTACTAATGATTAGTATTAAGATACAAACACACACTATCAAACACACATACCATTCATGAGTACACATACTTAATGAATGACTGATCCACTTACCTGTACTTGAGAATCAGGAGTAACCGACTGTAGATCATACCACTTCTCTACTGGGAACTCGTGTCCTCCTGACAGCTGGTCTCTGGTGAATATGAGGTGGCCTAACCTCTGGTCACGTGACACTGTGTCAGCATCACAGATGAATAGAGTGAGACGAGTGAAGTCATTAGGGACTGTGAAATTAAACTGTTCAGCAAATAATGGACTGGATATAGGGGGAGGGAGGGAGGGAGGGAGGGAGGGAGAGAACTCATAATAATAGCAGGTGTTGCTTATATTA